CATGTGCTAGGCAAGTGCTCAACCACTGAGCCCCAGCCCTTAATAATTAGTTTTAAAATATACTAAGCACATAGTTTCTACCAGGAAATTAAACATATATACAAACAAAACAAACATATATTTTTTGGTACTGGGGATCTAATCCAGGGGTGCTTTATGGTAAGCTGCAGAGCTAAGCCACAGAACCATATCCCTTGCCCTTGTCGTTTTTTTTTTTGTTTTTTGGTATTAGGGATACCAATCAGGGGTGCTTAACCACTAAGCTATATCCCCAGTCTTTTTATTTTTCATTTTGAGACAGAGTCTTGCTAAATTACTTAAGGCCTCACTAAATTGCAGATAAGGCCTCAAATTTGCAATTTCGTCTTAGCCTCCTAAATCACTGGTATTAAAGGGTGTGTCATCTTTGCCATTGTAACCTTTTTTTTTTTTTTTTTTTTTTTTGTGGTGCTGGGGATTGAACTAAGGGTCTTGCACATGCTAGGCAACTGCTCTACCACTGAGTTGTTTCCAGCCCATGCTTTAATCATTTTTTCCCCCTCCTTTTTGGTACTTGAACAGACAGGTACTGTACCAGTGAGCTATAGCCTCAACCCTTTTTATTTTTAGACAGGCTCTCACTAAATTACTGCTTCAAACTTGTGATCATCTTGCCTCAGCCTCCAATGGGATTACAGGTTTGTGCCACACCATTTTTAAGTATACAGTTTAGTAGCATTTAGTACATTCATGTATTGTGCAAACATCACTTCTATCCATTTTCAAAACTTTTTCATACTATTAACAAAACTTCCATGCTTAGTAAGTAAAAACTTCCCTTTTTTCCCCCCATCCTCTGTAACCTCTATTCTACTTCTTGTCCCTATGAATTTGCCTATTCTAGGTCCTTCATATAAGTGGAATCATTTAGTATTTGCCCTTTTGTATCTGAGCTATTGAACAGCATATTGTTTTCAAGGTTTGTCAATGTTGCATCAGAATTTCATTCCCTTATAAAGTCAGAGTAATATATCATTTTATGTATAATCACATTTTGTTTATTTGATATTTATCTGTTGATGAGCATCAGGGTTGTTTCCACCTTTTGGCTATTGTGACTAGGGCTACTATAAACATATATGTATAAATATCTCTGACTCCCCACTTTCAAGACTTTGGCAGTATATACCAAGAAGTTGAATTACTAGATAACATGGTGTTAGCTTCGTCTGTTTTATGTTGCTATAACAAAACATTGGAGGCTAGCTAACTTATCAAAAAAAAAAAAAAAAGAAGAAGCTTATTTGAGAGGCTGGGATTGTGGCTTAGTGGTGGAGTATTTGCCTAGCATGCATGAGGCACTGGGGTCGATCATCACCACCACATAAATGTAAAATAAAGGTATTGTGTCCACCTAAAACTAAAAAATAAATATTAAAAAAAGCTTATTTGCTTCATAATTCTGGTGGTTAGATGGCTCAAACAGCATGGTGTTAGTATAGCTAGCAGGGGCCCCTGGCTGCATTACGACAGAGATGTCAAAAGCAAACTGGTCTTCATGCAGAGAAGGCCAAGGTTTAGGTGGTGTCACTTTAAAACAACCCACTCTCACAAGAACTAGTCCACTCATGAGACTTGACCCACTTTCATGATAGCATTCATTCATTTGTGAGAGTGGCAGCCCTATGACCTGATTATATTCCTCTAGGCCCTACCTCCTGAAGATTCTTCCATCTTAATATTCTTATGTTAAGGACCAAGCTTTCAGCTCATGAACTCTGGGGAATGGGCTGGGGAGTGGACTACAAACCATATCCAACCACAGAACATGGCAATTCTATTTGTAACAGTTTAAGTGCCATCAACTGGTTTCCCCACACCTACACCATTTTACATTCCCACCAGTGATGCACAAGAGCTCCAGTCTCCACATGGTTGCTAACACTTGCTCTGTACTTTTTGATAATTGCCATCCTAGTGGGTACTAAGTGGTTATTGATTCTATGAACGTTTGTTTAAGGTGGCAAATAAGTGACAAGTCAATCAACAGGAAGTGACTGAGTATATTCCCAGTACATATTATCACAGAAATACCATGTAGCGATTGCTTCTTATTCTATATGACCATCACAAATGCTCCTTTATGCTGGCCGACCATCTAAAGGTAGCCTTCCTAATTTAGTTTTAATTATTTCCTAGTTCTTCTGATGCTAATGCTGAGCAAGGATATGCAATGAATACTTATTTTGAAAGAATGTTCAAGTAAAGCAATGTAAGGAATGGAAGAAAACAGAGAATAGTTTATTCATGTTGATATACATGTATTGTTTGGGCACATTATTTCAGAACTCAATCCTTACCATTTTCAATCTTATCTCAAGACAAACCTTCAAAGATGTTAAAACCAGTGAAGTACTGTAGTAATATTATCACTTTATTATGTTAAATTTAAAAGAAATTAATATATCTGCAATTAGTCTAAGGCTTAATTGCTGTGTACTTTCATTTTTATCACTCTTCAAAAAGACTATTTACAGTTTTCTGGCAAGCTATCATGAAAAGGGATCAAGTAAACAAAAATCCTCGCAAAAATATTGACTTACAAGCTTCCTTTTCAGCACCACTTTTCCCCAAGGAAATAAACGTGGGGACTGACTGTATCTGGTAGAACTAAAAACAAAATTATGTGGCAGGTCAAAATTGAAGGTGAAATCCAAGAGTTAACTCAAAAAAATAAAATAAATTGAGTGACATGGTATCTTAAAAATTTAAAAATGCTTTTAAAAAATATTTTTTAGTTGTAGTTGGACACAATACCTTTATTTTATTCATTTATTTTTATGTGGTGCTGAGGATCGAACCCAGGGCCTCTCACATGCAAGGTGAGAGCTCTACTGCTAAGCCACAACCCCAGCCCCCAAAATTTTAAAATTTAAAAAAATGTCTAATTTCTAATGCTAATGTTGGTAATGTGAGGGTATTAAAATTTTTGATGTTTCAGTAAAAACTAATTCCAATTCAGAATATAAACGGAATGGTAGGATACTTAAATGTATGTGACCTAACCTGTTCCAGAAGTAAAGACAATGTACAGATTAATGTGACTTGAGTTAATTCAAATAATTGCATTTGTTGTCACCACAATATTAAAAAGTTATCTCATATTTGAACATATTAGCATTGAACTGAGAATAAAATCCATTATATAGTCATCCCTCCTTATCTGTTTCACTTTCTGCAGTTCATTACCCATGCTCAACCACTGTTCAAAATATCAAATGAAAAATTCCAGAATTCAGAAGTTGTAGATTGAGCACTGTTCTCAGTAGCATATTACATGTCCTCTCATTCCATTTGTCCACAGATGTAAATCATTGCTTTATTCAGTGTATCCATGTGGTATATACTATCCACCCATTAGTCACTTAGTAGCATCTCCAGTTACCAGAATAACTGTTGGGTATCCCAATGTTTGTGTTTAAGTAAACCTTATTTTACTTAATAATGTAAGAGTAGTGATGATGGGAACCTGGGTATGCCAAAGCAAAGCTGTAGGTGAAAGTTCTCAAGTTAGTAGAAAAAAAAAAAAATTATACACTGAGGTTGCTGTGCTCTACAGTAGATCATTGTTAATCTCTTATGGCACTTAAATTTAAAAATTAAACTTTTATGTTAGCTATGTAGAGGAAAATCCTAACACGTATAGATGTTAAGCATCATTCAGAGTTTCAGGCATTGACTGGGGGTTTTAGAATGTATCCCCCAGAAATAAGGGAGAATTCTATCATATGTACTTCATGTACAGCTTCTTTACCCTTCCATTTTTTTTTTTTTCTTTTGTACCAAGAATTGAACCAGAGGCACTTAACCACTGAGCAACATCCCCAGTCCTTTTTGACTTTTTAATTTTGAGACAGGGTCTTACTAAATTGCTTAGGGCCTAAATTGCTGAGCCTGGCCTCAAAATTGTGATCCTCCTGTCTCAGCTTCCTGAGTTCCTGAGATTACAGGCATGCACTACCACACCTGGTACCACCTTCCTGCTTAAGAAAATAGTAGAAACAATAGAATGAATACATACATTACCACAACTCAGAATTAACTAACATTAGTCAGGTGAGGTGGTACACGCCTGAGCAGCTAGGCTGGCTGAGGCAGAATTTTGAGTTCAAAGCCAGGGTCAGCAACTCAGTGAGAGCCTGTCTTTAAATAAAATATAAAATAAGGCTGGGGATGTGGCTCAGTGGTTGAGTGCCCTGGAGTTCAATCCCCAGTAGCCACCCCAGCAACAAAAAAAAAGAACTAACATTTTGTTACATTTACTTAGAATCTTTCTTTTTAATGGGAAATAGATTATTTTGATACACAACTAAATTGTTCTTTATTATGCTGGTCACATTTCCTTTCCATTTTCCTTTATGCTAGAGGCAACCATTTTTGGGGGCTGTTTATATATCCTTCTGATTCATTTTTAAAGAATTTTTTTTGTAGTTGTAGATGGACAGTATACTTTATTTTTATGTGGTGCTAGGGATTGAACCCAGTGCCTCACACATGGTAGGAAAGTACTTTGCTACGGAGGTACAGCCCCAGCCCCTTATTTATTTCTGGGGCTGGAGATGTGGCTCAAGCGGTAGCGTGCTCGACTGGCATGCGTGCGGCCCGGGTTCGATCCTCAGCACCACATACAAACAAAGATGTTGTGTCCGCCGAAAACTGAAAAATAAATATTAAAAAATTCTCTCTCTTTAAAAAAAATATTTTATTTATTTCTGTGCTCTTGGGGATCTAACCCAGGCTTTTGTACATAATAGGCAAGTACTCTATCACTGACCTCTCTAGCTCCAATTAACTCTTAATAGTTTGTTTATACAAACCTGGGTATGATGGTGACTCATGCCTATAATCCCAGCAGCAGAGAAAGCTTAGACAGGAGGATTCAAAGTCAGCCTCAGCACTTTAGTGAGGCCCTAAGCAACTTAGCAAGACCATATCTCAAAATACAGAAAAGGGCTGGGGATATGACTCAGTAGTTAAATGCCCCTTGGATCAATTCCTGGTACAGGAAAAAAAAAAGTTTCACAAAAAAGCATTTATCTATAACCAACGCTTAAGGTACAGGGGTTGGTTAGTGTTGATTTTATTTAGATTCACAAGGGTATCTCTACAATATATTCATCACTTCAGTTTTCTTCATTCTGTACGATTTTTCATATCTTTCACTGTTAATATACATACAAATTTAATTTGTACTTGACTGCTAGAGAGTATTCTACTCTATGACTATCACATTTTATATATCTATTTCACAAGCAACAGACATCTGTTTCCGATTTCTGGCTACCATTTTTCATGCTGCAATGAACAGACACATTATACTCCCTGTGTACATGTGTTAGTGTTTTGGGTATATGTATATATATTTAAAAGTAGAATTGTTGATTCTTCTGGAATATAATTTAGAAATTCTTTCTTACCCTAAGGTTTTAAAAACACTCTTGTATAAAATTTATATTATTGTTTTGCTTTTTGCATTCCAGCATTCAATAGTTTTGGATTTCATAATAAATAAATATTTTAATGAATAATGACAGAGGTCGCTTATTTTTCCAAATGAAGAAATCAATTACCCTGAGATCATTTTTAAAATAATCCCTAAATTTGGGATGCCACCTTTATGAATGACCAATTACCCACAAATTCAGGCTTAATGGATTCAGTACTCTGCCCCAACCTCAATTTTCTACAACTGCATCAACACCAAATACTTTGATGATTAGTTTTACAAAGTACACATATAGCAAAGCACATAACAAAAAAATAATTGTCTCTCAATTTCAAGTCCTTTTCTCTCATATAGTTGTCTTAATGTATCTCATAGGACTCCCAGAAACATGCTAGTTGGTCTCCATAACTGGATTCTAACTCAACAAGAATGCTCATAAAAGTACAATAATATTTATTGTGGAAGCTTTTTGCCCTGGCTACTTCTTATTAAACATCTTTGTATTTTGAGTTGCTGCAGGATTTCCCACATTTTGTGTCACTTTAATGTAAAATGAGTTTTTTGATATTATTAAGTATAAATTCTGATGGAGTTTTTTCTATATCCAAGGCCTTCATAGAGCTTTAATGAGTATGAATTCTCTGGTGTCTAATGTGATGTGACTTCTGGCTGAAAGATTTCCCACATTCGCTACATTGATAAGGTTTTTCACCAGTATGGATTCGCATGTGTAGAGCAAGAGTTGAGAACTGAGAAAAGGCTTTCCCACATTCATTGCAACCATAGGGTTTCTCACCTGTGTGGCTTCTCATATGTACAGTAAGAGATGAGCTTTGACAGAAGGCTTTCCCACATATTTTACATTCATATGGTTTATCACCTGTATGGATTCTCACATGTACAATAAGTGATGTGATTCGAGAAAAGGCTTTTCCACATTTATTACATTCATAGGGTTTCTCTCCCGTATGAATATTGTGATGTTTAATGAGGTATTGCTTCTGCCTGAAGATTGTTCCACATTCATTACATTTATAGGGTTTCTCTCCAATATGAATTTTCTCATGCTCAGTGAGATTTGATTTGCCACTGAAGGCTTTTCCACATTCCTTACAACTGTATGGTTTCTCTCCGGTATGACTTCTCTGGTGTCTAATGAGGCTTGACTTCTGAATGAAAGCTTTCCCACACCCTTTACATTCATAAGGTTTCTCTCCAGTATGTATTCTCTGATGGATAATGAGGTTTTCCTTCTGGCTAAAGGCTTTCCCACACTCATTACATTTAAAGGGTTTCTTTCCACTATGGATGTTCTGATGTTTAATGAGGTACTGCTTCTGGCTGAAGGCCCTTCCACATTGATTACATTCAAAAGGTTTTTCTCCAGTATGAATTTTCTCATGCTCACTGAGATATGATTTTCCATTAAAAGCTTTGCCACATTCCTTACATGCATATGGTTTGTTTCCTGAATGATTTCTCTGGTGTTTAATGAGGATTGGCATCTTAATAGAAGTTTTCCCACTTTCATAAGATTTTTCTCCAGTATGATGTTTCTGATGAGAAAGGAAGTTTCTCTTCTGGCCAAAGGCTTTTCCACACTTATTACACTTATAGGATTTCTTTCCTGTATGACTTTTCAAATGTAGAGTAAGTGATGAGACCCGAGAGAACACTTTACCACATTCAGTACATTCATGTGATTTTTCTCCAGTATGCATGTTCCTTTGCTCTATCAAGTTTTCTTTCAGGCTAAAGTTTTTTTTACACTCGTAAGGTTTCTGATCAGTATGAATTTCATCATGCTGAAGTAGATCTGAATCAGGCTGAAGACTTTCCAACATTCCTGTCATGCACAGGACAATTCTCCTAGGTTTCCCTTTTTCCTTGTAGCTACTGAAATGCAGTAAGGATGAAAGCTTTTCCACGTTTCACTAAACTTGTGTGATTTCTTTTCAGTATTCTCAGGTATCTAACAAATTTGAGCTAATGATGGGAGATTTTTCTCACACTGATATATCCTGAGATGAGATGATTATAAAAAGGAATGAGATATAGCATTCTCTTTGTATTAATGGTTCTTTCTTTCTTTCTTTTTTTTTAGTTTTAGGAGGATACCATATTTTTATTTTATTTTTATGTGTTGCTGAGGATTGAACCCAGTGCCTCATGCATGCTAGGCAAGCACTCTACAACTGAGCCACAACCCTAAGTCAATGGTTCTTTCTTATACTGCTTCTTGCATATTTAAGCATAAATTATGTTTCAAATTCTTAAACTGAGTCCCATACACAGAAGTGTAGTCTTGAAGAATCAATGCTGTGCTCCAAGGAAATACTATTTTGTTTCCTCAGTCTATATTTTCACAGAGAACAATGAGACTTTACTCTCAAGTCTTTCACGTTGTATCTTTATTTGTTTATAAACTTCTCAGGTTTATTCTAAAAAAAAAAAAAAAAATCATCATGGAAAAACAGTTAACAAGTGCCTGTGCCTGGCATGTAGTAAGCATCTAATAAATTAGCTTATCATTATCAACAACATCACTAACTAGGTAAATTGCTTTTCAAAGTGAAAGCATAGTGAATTTTCCCACAATCATTAATATAATTTTAGAAAAGTGCTTTTAAAATAGACTATTCCAGAGTAGTCATCAGTATAAAAGTTCAAACACATATAACATTCATAGGTATATACATCTTTACTTTTAAATATAACCCTACACACACCATGAACAGTAAAATAAGAGAAAATGTAAAAACTAGGCTTACAATGAAGGGCAAATAGAAGATTGGAAGAATGTAGGATAAGAGCAAAACATAAAATGAACAGAGAGAATATAAATAAGGCATTTATTTCTACATCTTAATGAAATTCCACTAAAATTAAAAAAAAAAAAAAAGGTGAAGGTAGGCAAATACAAAAACTAAAAGCTTGAGACCCCGAAGTGAACAAAGTATTGTGGAATTCTAGAAGGAAAGGAAATGGAGAACTACAACTCAAGGGGACGAGTAAATGTTTACATATAGAATAGGCTGGATTCCCACAACGTTGGTGGTTGCCAGGTATCTACAGATGAATGGATTCTTTTCTGAAAAAAGGATAATCCAAGGTTGGGGTTATGGCTCAGCAGTAGAGTGTTTGCCTAGCATGCATGAGGCACTGGGTTCGACCCTCAGCAACACATAAAAAATAAATAAAATAGGGGCTGAAGTTGTGGCTCAGCTGTAGAGTGCTTGCCTAGCATGTGTGAGATGACACTGGGTTCGATTCTCAGTACCATATATAAATAAGTAAATAAAATAAAGGTCTATCAACAACTAAAAAAGGGCTAGGGATGTGGCTCAAGCGGTAGCGCGCTCACCTGGCATGCGTGTGGCCCGGGTTCGATCCTCAGCACCACATACAAACAAAGATGTTGTGTCCGCCGAAAACTAAAAAATAAATATTAAAAAATCCTCTCTCTCTCTCCTCTCTACCTATATAAAAAAAAAAAACAAAAAAAAAAAAAAAATCTCTCCTCTCTGTTAAAAAAAAAAAACAACTAAAAAAATATTCAAAAATAAGTAAATAAAAAAAAAAAAGGCATTAAGTCCAACTACAACTAATGAAACCCCAACAAAATAATTTAAAAAGAAGAATCATCCACGAGAATACTTATAGACACTATTTGGAGTAATATATATATATATATATATATAAAAAAAAAAGCCCTAGAGGGATTGGGGGTTTGTGGCTCAGGGGTAGAGCACTTGCCTAGCATGTGTGGGGCCCTGGGTTTGATTCTCAGCATCACATATAAATAAATGAATAAAATAAAGGTCCATCAATGTCTAAAAAACAATAAAAATTTTTTTTTATAATTTTATTTTTAAATTTATTTTTATGTGATGCTGAGGATCAAACCCAGGGCCCCGCACGTGCTAGGCAAACGTTCTACCACTGAGCCACAATCTCAGCCCCCTGGTGGGAAAAGTTATTTTAAATTAAAAAAACAAAAACAAAAAACAACACCTAGATTCCTAACTGATTGCTGCACAGTGAAGCTCACAATATAATTGGGCTATGTAGCTCAGTGACAGAGCTCTTGCCTAGCATGCATGAGGCCCTGGATTCAGTCCTCAGTACTGAAAAAATTAAACATTACAATTCATATCACAAAAAGCCAAGAGAAGCAAAAGAAGATTATTATAGCAATGAAATATTAACAGGGTTCTAAAAAGAAGTGCCTTTGGAAATTAACTTTAAAAGTTTAATGCATTGGAAAAAAAAAAAAAAAAGGTTAGGAAATCTCCTGGAATAAAAAGAGAAAGAATGGAAGAAAAGGCAGAAAGTAATAGGGATAGATAGACATGAGTGATGGGAGCATGATATGAGGTTAAGGGAATAATTCTACAAACTGGGCTCACTGTGCTGACCCCGCCCCCAAATACTTTTGCTTTTTTGGTGATGGGGGGAGTACTGGGAAATGAACCAAGGGACACTTTATCACTAAAGCTTCATCTCCAGGCCCCACCTGTTGCATTTGAGACAGGGTCTTGAGAAATTGCTTAGGTTCTCATTCAGTTGTCAAGGCTGGCTTTGAACTTGACAATCTCTTTGCCTCAGTCTCTCCAGCTGCTGGGATTACAGGTATGCACCACCCATGCCTGGCTATGCTTTCACTTTGAAAAGCAATTTACCTACAGCCCTGTCTAGCTTAAGTGGGCAGGATATGTTAACTCTGGGGAGCCTTTTTATTGTGAGAGGAGGGAGAAAATACTTGGGATTGAACCCAGGGGCACTTTACAACTGAGCTGTATACACAGCTCCCCCCCCTTTTTTTACTTTTTATTTTGAGATAGAGTTTCACTAAATTGCTTAGGGCCTCTTTGCTGAGGCTGGCCTCAAACTAACAATCCTTCTGCCTTAGCCTTCTGAGTTGCTGAGATTACAGGTGTGCACCACCACACCCAGCTCCCTTTCCTATCCCTTCTAAAGAACCATGCCTGTTACACTGAGTGATATGTCTGAAATCTTTCTGGCATACTTGCAAAAATCAAGGTTTGAAGAGGGGCCATTACACTGCCTCAATTTCATGGAAGGCCCAGCTCTGTAATGAAAGGAATAAAGAGAGTAATGATTGGATGGTCCAACAACTATTAAGAGTAGAAAGGACATTTGAACAAAAATGAATGCAGGGGGCTGGGATTGTGGCTCAGTGGTAGAGCGCTTGCCTAGCATGTGTAAGACACTGGGTTCAATTCTCAGCACTGCATATAAATAAAATAAAATAAAGGTATTGTGTCCATCTATAATTAAAAAAAATTTAAATGAATGCAGGAAATTTTCAAAGAATATAAGAAAATCTTTCAGAATTACAGATTGAATCTATGTATTGAACAGGCCCACTAAGTACAAAGAACATTCCATTTAAAAGGAATCTACCTTGGCTGGGCACTGTAATCCCAGTTGACTTTAAAGCTCCTACTCATTATACCTACAGAGTTGGACTTGAAGACCTTGAAATTGAACCCATCTATAACTGTATCTAGAGACTGTGCTTTTTTTTATGTAGTTGCAATTTGAGGCTCACATGTGCTAATCAACATAGTATATATATAATTAATGATCTACCCTCACCAAAGAAATAGACCCAAAAAACTATTTTTGCATTTAAACCTGGTTACTATAGTGTTTTAATTATCAATATTATCATTTCTGTGTAAAAACTGTCATTAGCATCAATTTCTGTTTTCATCTGTTTGCTTTCAGCAGGCCTGATATATGGATACCCAACTCTTCTGTAAAGAGCCTTTTTCTTGCTCTCTCCCAAAACATTTGTTTTTCATTCTTCAACATCATCCCGATCTTTCTGTCAGAATTTTATGCTTATTTTCTCATAAACCATTTTAAGAACTGAGTCTGGTAAATGCACTGTCACTCATATTAATGCTTTAACTTTCATAATTTAGAGAAAAAAATGGCCTCAACCCATTCACATATCATAAGTGAAAATTCATTTAAAACAAATCATGGATCTAAAACACTACAACTATTAAAGTAAAAGAAAAAAAATGATAGATTTCATCAAAAGTTCAAAACTAATGCTCCTGAATTACAAGCAACAATAAATGTTGGCGAGGACATGGGGAAAAAGGTACACTCATACATTGGTGGTGGGACTGCAAATTGGTGCAACCACTATGGAAAGCAATATGGAGATTCCTAAGAAAACTTGGAATGGAACCACCATTTGACCCACTCCTAGGTTTATACCCAAAGGACTTAAAATCAGCATACTATAGTGAGGCAGCCACATCAATGTTTATAGCAGCTCAATTCACAATAGCTAAACTATGGAACCAACCTATGGTGCCTTTTAACAGATGAATGGATAAAGAAACTGAAGTAGGGGCTGGGGATGTGGCTCAAGCGGTAGTGCGCTCGCCTGGCACGCATGTGGCCCGGGTTCGATCCTCAGCACCACATACAAAGATGTTGTGTCCGCCGAAAACTAAAAAATAGATATTAAAAAAATTCTCTCTCTCTCTCTAAAAAAAAAAAAAAGAAACTGAAGTATAGGGCTGGGGTTGTGGTTCAGTAGTAGAGTACTCGCCTAACCTGTGTAAGGCCCTGGGTTCAATCCTCAGCACTACATAAAAATAAACAAAATAAAGGCAATGTGTCCAACTACAACTAAAAAATAAATATCACCCCCCCAAAACCTGAGGTATATATACACAATAGAATATTATTCAGCCTTGAAGAATGAAATTATAGCATTTGCTGTTAAACGGATAGAACTGGAGAATATTATACTAAGCGATATAAGCCAAACCCAAGAACCAAAGGCTAAATGTTTTCTCTGATATGCAGATGCTAATTCACAATGGGGGCAGGGAAGAACAGAGGTATTTTGGTCTAATTCAGAGCTAAATGAAGGGAGGGGCAGAGGTATGGGGGTAGGAATGATAGTAGAATGAATTGGACATTATTACCCTAATGCATATACGATTACACGACCTGTACAATTCTACATCATGTACAACCAGACGAATAAGAAATTACACTCCAGGCTGGGGATGTGGCTCAAGCGGTAGTGTGCTCGCCTGGCATGCGCAGGGCGCTGGGTTCGATCCTCAGCACCACATAAAAAAAAAAAAAGTAAAACTAAAGATGTTGTGTCCACCGAAAACTAAAAAGAATAAATAAATATTAAAAAAATTCTCTCTCTCCCTCTCAAAAAAGTTACACTCCATTTATGTACTATGAATCAAAATGCACTCTACTGTCATGTATAACTAATTAGAACAAATAAAAGAAAAAGATGGAAGAACATTACAAAACAACAACAACAAAACTAATGCTCCTCAAAAACAGTGAAGAAAATGAAAGGGCAAGCCATAAGCTGGGAAAACTTTAATCTTGAAAAATACACAAACCAGGCTGGGGATGTGGC